CATGAATTGATAATTAACGAAAATCATTTACAATTGGGTGTGGGTGTGGGTTGGCGGAGGATAAAAATCATCTACACCCACACCCTTTGCGATTAAAAGAATTCGGTTCCCAAAGGGTTATACTAAATATTTATCGTCTTGACGATAGTATATATTCAATCAAGTGTATCAAAAATAAAATAAAATAAAACAAAAAATCAAGAATATTGAAGAGGTGTGAGTATTTTGAAGTTTAAATAATATGTTTCATGATCATATTAAAGTGTTAGTCAGATAAATTAAAGAAAAATTAGATAAATCTAAATACAATAAAAATCAAGAGATTAGAGAGGTATAATTATTTGGGGATATGAATAATGTCTTTCTTGACTATGTCAATTTCTTAATCAAGTGAATGAAACCAAAAATAAAATCAAGAATTCAGAAGGTATTATTATTCTTTCTGATGACCAAAGTCCGTTTGTCAAGCAAAACCCTTGACACAATGATCTGCATCATGATCTGACTATAAAAATATAATAATAAATAAAAATTAAACAAAACAAGGCGACAAATTCATCAAATCTTACATCACCACAAATGGCACATGTACTTGATTGTGCGTGCGTTTGTCGAGAAAAACCCTTGTAACACTGTGATGCATCATGACCTACCTATAAAAATACAATAATAAATAAAAATTAAACAAAACAAGGCAATGAATTTATCAAATCTTACATCACCACAATTATCACATATGGTTGATCGTGCGTGCGTTTGTCGAGAAAAACCCTTGTAACACTGTGATGCATCATAACCTGCCTATAAAAATACAATAATAAATAAAATTTAAACAAAACAAGGCAATGAATTCATCAAATCTTACATCACCACAATTGCCACATATACTTGACGCTGAACTCATTCTTGATGTAAGGCTTTTTCTGATGTTATTTTTGTTTTATTTTATTTTCTTCTACTAGTTCGCCCACTTGTCTTCCGCCCCTACTTGTGTCACAAATCTGTAACAAACAAGAAAAGACTTATAACTCGTTTATGAGAATTTTGTTCATTTAATCAATGTCCCAAAGAATCATATTTATTTCTTTAACTAAATTCATTGTTCATAATAGAAGATTCTAAAAACATACAATTGTATTACCATTGACAGATAGCAAAAAGAGGAATACTTACAATGAATCTGTAATGAAGGCCACGCTACCAAATAGAAAACAGGTGATGTTTTTTAATTTACAGTCAGTTTTAAATGAAAAACATCATTTTAATCGAAATAATTCAACTAATCAGAAAAATCAGGTAAATCAGGGGCAATACAAAAGAATGAAAATTATCAAAAAATCAATGTAATCAAAAGCTGTTCTTTTCTTTGTTAACTGGTACATGAAGTTATTTAAATAGATTGTCCAAGTTTATGAAATCTATTTTTTGGCTAGAGTAATTGTGCGTAATTTTCAAGTGTGAATACTCGTATTATGAGTAGATGCCTAATTCCAGTTCAATTATAAATGAAAATTTGAAAAAAACATAGAGCCCCTACTACTCAAGAAAAAATAATCTCTCCATGATAATCAGAATCAGGTAACTACCTCCTTTGAACCTATCAGAAAAAGAAATTTTCATCTAAATTGTATGATTCGAATTGAGATAACGCATCCTTGTAAATTCAGATAGAAAAAGAAGGAATATTGGTGAGAGTGTTAGGGTGGGTGTGGATGTCTTCGTCACATTCAAACAAAGACTGAAACACCGATGCAGAGGGTTCATCTGTTCAATATTTTTGCCTTCAGTCTAGCATGATGGGATGCTCTCTGTGTGTCAGTGTTCTCGCACTCACCTTCACTGGAACAGATGCACTCTGTGTGTGTCAGTGTTCTCGACCACACCCACATACGGCGAGATGTCCTCTGTGTGTGATTTTGTGTCAGTGTGTTCGCCCTCACCCTCACCTGACAAGATATTCTCGGCGTGTGCCAGTCTTTTGCCCCCTTCGCCACCTGACCGAATGCAGTGGGTGTGGGTGTGACTGTGAAGGAGACATCAACACCTACACCCATACTCAGGCTCACACTCCTACCGACTCTCACACCCTCGAAATATATGATTTCAATGAAAATTTTTTTTTCGAGAATTTACAGGGATAGGGCATCTAAATTCAGGTCATATAATTCAGCTCAAAGTTTTTTCTTCCATAATTTACAGGGATAAGTCATCTCAATGCGAATTGTATAATTCAGCTGAATTTTTTTTATATTGGAAGGAGTGCTGGTGAAAATTTTTTTGCGGTGATTTTCGAAGCGATGGTAAGCTCTCAACGCTCGATTTATATTCGAACGCGAATTACCCAACTCATGCGTATAACGGACATTGGGCTCGCTTATCTATACAAAGAAGGTAAATGAGGAAGACAGTAGACATTCATTAAGCTAATTTCTAGCTCTTTTTTTTCTATCTATAAAATCGAACAGGCAGTGCAACTCGTTTTTGATGATGCCTGAAATCTGGTAACACCTCTTGATTTCAACATTTTATGTACGATTATAAACCCATTATCACTTGACAAAATCATTTCGTTGTCAAGCTCTACGT